TTTCTGTGTTCGTACATTGTCACTTCTTGTCCTACTCTGGGTATTGTTAAACTTCACCTCTCAATTCCTCCCCCAGCCCATTCTGCTATTTCCACATACCCTCTATTCCACTGATCCCTCAGGTCCCAAAGTAGCTTCATTAGCCATTATGCAATATGTACAACCTTCAGAAACTATGCAATAAATGATAAAAGGAATTATTTTAACATCATTGGGGTGGGATAAAATCTCCAATAATCTAATGAAAGCCTGAATTGGAGCACGCCACTTGGTGAAGCGGGAAAAATTTCCGGTCCATAAAACATAGAACGTAGAACATTACAGCGCAGTACAGGCCCTTCGGCCCTCGATGTTGCGCCGACCTGTGAAACCAATCTGAAGCCCATCTAACCTAAACTATTCCATTGTCATCCATATGTTTATCCAATGACCATTTAAATGCCCTTAAAGTGGGCGAGTCTACTATTTTTGCAGGCAGGGCATTCCACGCCCTTACTACTCTCTGAGTAAAGAACCTACCTCTGACATCTGTCCTATATCTATCACCCCTCAATTTAAAGCTATGTCCCCTCGTGCTAGCCATCACCATTCGAGGAAAAAGGCTCCCACTGTCCACGCCATCTAATCCTCTGATCATCTTGTATGTCTCTATCAAGTCACCTCTTAACCTTCTTCTCTCTAACGAAAACAGCCTCAAGTCCCTCAGCCTTTCCTCATAAGACCTTCCCTCCATACCAGGCAACATCCTGGTAAATCTCCTCTGCACCCTTTCCAATGCTTCCACATCCTTCCTATAATGCGGTGACCAGAACTGTACGCAATAGTCCAAGTGTGGTCGCACCGGAGTTTTGTACAGCTGCAACATGACCTCATGGCTCCGAAACGCAATCCCTCTACCAATAAAACCTAACATACTGTACGCCTTCTTAACAACGCTATCAACCTGGGTGGCAGCTTTCAGTGATCTATGCACATGGACACCGAGATCTTTCTGCTCATCCACACTACCAAGAATCTTACCATTAGCCCAGTACTCTGTCTTCCTGTTATTCCTTCCAAAGTGAATCACCTCTCACTTTTCCGCATTAAACTCCATTTTCCACCTCTCAGCCCAGCTCAGCAGCTTATCTATGTCCCTCTGTAACCTGCAACATCCTTCTGCACTATCCACAACTCCACCAACTTTGGTGTCATCCGCAAATTTACTAACCCATCCTTCTACGCCCTCATCGAGATCATTTATAAAAATGACAAACAGCAATGGCCCCAAAACAGATCCTTGAAGTACACCACTAGTAACTGACCTCCAGGATGAACATTTCCCATCAACCACCACCCTCTGTCTTCTTACAGCTAGCCAATTTCTGATCCAAACCGCTAAATCACCCTCAATCCCATGCCTCCGTATTTTCTGCAATAGCCTACCATGGGGAACCTTATCAAACGCTTTACTGAAATCCATATACACCACATCAACCGCTTTACCCTCATCCACCTGTTAGGTCACCTTCTGAAAGAACTCAATAAGGTTTGTGAGGCATGACCTACCCTTCACAAAACTGTGTTGACTATCCCTAATCAGAAAAAGTTGTTTAAATGCTTATTAGGTTTGTAAACAAACAAGAAACCACAGACTTTTTATGTTACTACAGTTACTTAAAACTTCCAGTTATACTTGGATCAACAGACCATCTACTAAGTTTAAGTAATTACTAATTTTTAAAATGCAGCCAAGCATTCATGATTACACCTGTCATAACAAAAGCTTCCAGCGACATTGCCTGAAACAGACAGAACAGAATGATGTGGAACTTCAGTTTTAAAGCAGAGTGCCTGTCAATCAGTAGACAGAAGCTGATGCAAAGTTGTTTTCAACAGCCAGAGCTGCTGGTCAATTTCAGTCATAGTTGACTGTGAAAGCTGATGGGACATAATTGTTCATAGTTACTTTTTAATGCATTGTAGAACTTTCAATGTTTGTAAAATGTTTGTAATGCATGGCAACAACTATACAATGTTGGTCAATGTAAGATGAACGTGTCAATACACACCGGGCATATCATAATACAGAATCCAAATTACAAGGTTTTACACTACCCGAATGTGCCTAACAACTCAGCTGGCTTCTCTCAGTGCTCGTAAGCACTCCAAGAAAGCTTTTTTTTTTCGTGCTTCCAATTGCTGTACCAGCTCATGAATTTAGTGTACAGGGGTAAACACAATTTTCCTGTGGCCCTCACAAAGGAGACTCTGACCTCAGAAGATACATATTCGTTTTGCACCTAAAGCAGTCGTTACCTGCCAAAAGGCCACAAAGTTTTTTTTAATCATTGACTGGATGAGGGCATCACTAGCTAGGCAGCATTATTGCCCATTCCTAATTGCCCAGAGGCCAGTTTAAGAGTTAACCATGTTGCTGTGGGTCTGGAGTCGAAAGTCGGCCAGACCAGGTAAGGATGGTAGTTTCCTTCCCTAACCAAATGGGTTTTTCCAACAATTGATAACAATTTCATGGTCACCATTAGACTCTTAATTGAATTCAAACTCCCCCATTTGCCATAGCAGGATTCTAACCTGGGTCCCCAGAACATTATCTGGGTCCCTGGATTAACAGTCTTGCGATAATGCCATTCAGCCATCGGCTCCCTGTGTGTGATCTGGAAGGCATGGAAGAATTGTGTTTCTGGGGGGAAAGGAATGCACATGACGGGAGGAAATGGATGTTTAAGTTGGTGAATATGCTGCCAAACACATTAAGTGGTTGTTTGAGATTCTGTCTTACCACTTGAGTAGTGTTGGTGCTAAGAGAGCAGGTGCAGATTATCCCCAAATCTTTGGACATTTTTTGATAAGTTGCCTTGCTGTTCTACACAATGGGATGCTAGCTTGTTTAGTGTAGCCACTCGAATCTTCTCCTGCAGTTCAGTTGAGTGATATTTTTGGCAAACCTGGATCAAAGTTTGAAACAGAAGCAATCTTAAATTGTAATGCTAAGTATTTTTTAAAGCAGTCAAGATCCTGATCTGAATGATGGAACAAATTTATTGGACTGAATTATCTTTTATATAGAAGAGCAGTGTTTAGTAGCATGCATTGGTAGCATTGTACTATACCTTTCTTAAATAAAATATTTTGTTTAAGTAATTTTCTCTCCACTACTATCTCCTGTAACCACCAATACTTTAGTGTTGAACTGCTTAAAGTCCTTTCTCCTGATGTAAACAATATTTAGAAATTTGGAATCTATAATTGTGCTGTTGAGGTTATTTTCCTGCACAGTACATGAACTTGCAGTGAACATTTTATGCACACCCTCGTTTAACAGAAACCCAGTGCCGTAATGCTAGTGTCTATGTTCTTGAGTGAAGTTCTTGGATATTAGTATGTAGCAATCACTTTTGTTTGTACACATACAATAGATACCTTCTGGTTGGTGCTCCTCTGTTCACCTCAAGCTCCCCAGACCCATTCTGCCATGTTCTCTCTTTTCTGCATGCGAGTGAAAATCATGAGACTGTTTGTTACTCTTCACTCGATATTGTTCCAAGAACCTAAAAACTGGAGTATCTTCCACTCGCAACCCTTTCTTCCTCTACTTTCAGATTTTTACAAAGCAAACTGGAGACCCAGTCAAGAATCCATTGAGTTGGGATGTCTTTACATGGCCCACCTTCGCTGTTTGCTGTGAAGGCCAGTTCTTGAGAAGCACAAGCACCACTCACTAAACTGGCCAAGTGGTCTCGTGGATTAGATATAACGTGTAGAGCGGGAGGAACACAGCAGACCAGGCAGCATCAGAGGAGCAGGAAAGTTGATGTTTCGGGTCAGGGCATCATCTTGAAACTCCCCAGCATTGAGCTGAGGGCAGTGTAGAACTTCAAGAGAGCATAGATAAGTTCAGAAAAGAAGGGTCCTGACCCGAAACGTCAGCTTTCCTGCTCCTCTGATGCTGCCCGGCCTGCTGTGTTCCTCCAGCTCCACACTGTGTTATCTCTGTCTCCAGCATTGGCAGTTCTTACTGTCTCTGGTGTAGTGGATTATTGCCTTTGGCTCCAAACTGCTGTAGCCACTGGTCGTCGTTGTGTGTACCACCCTACCTTTTGCCAGCTAGTGACAGCCAGATGAGATCTTTGGTGTTTGGTGTCTTCGTCTGTTGCTCACTGAGCAATCCTGAAGCAGGACCTTGGGCTGTATAGAATTCTTGACTATAGAGGGCTGTTAAGACTGGATCATTAAGTATATTCAAAGTTGAGAGAGATTATTAATCAGTAAACTAATCCACAGGTAATGGGGAAAAGACAGAAAATTGGTGTGGAGCTTTATTAGGTCAGCATGATCTCGTTGAATGGCTGTTCAGTCTTGGTGGGCTTAATGACCTAATTCCAATCCTTGATCTTCTGGTCTTTCATTCTAAGGACGTACCAAGTCCACTGAGGCTACATCTGTTTGATTTGTGTACTCGAGAAGGTTTTTGAGATTTTTGACTGGTTGGGCGGAGGAGAGGCACTTTCCATGTACTCTGATATGCTGATACAGATCATACTTGCCATCTATTCCAGCTGTCTATATTTGAAAAGCAAAAATGAACATCAAAATTACATGCAATATATATGCAAAATGTTCTGCTAATTGAAAAGGATTGGTTTCATTTGGGGTTTTTCGTGAAATCTACATGGATTCTGCTTCCCCGTGTTTATGTGAACCCATTTAAAGTGTAAAGGGATGAATTCACCTGTTCTAGATCTTCTCTTCCTTGTTATCACTCAAAAATAATGCACAACGTCTGAGAATCTTTGCTTCATGTGCCCGAATGGCTATTTTTGATAGTCAGCTAGTCATATGCAAATTAGGTTACTTAGTTCATGTTATACGTTGTGGTGCCTGTTTAACTCTGTGTATTATGTAAATACAGGTGCACATGCACCAAACTGTCCTCAAATTAGAGCACAGTTATTTTGTACCTGCCCCTAGTTGCACCATTATTTCCGGTCATGGTGATGATGGTTGGATTCAGTAGCCAGACTTGCATGATGGCCACTATGCTGGTTTGGTTTCTTTTTCATATAAATCATTTGTGCATCCTGTATTATTTAACTGTATTTCAGTTGTTGGAAAGAAGACACTGTTTTTGTTAGAAGAATTTCCTGTAGTTTGTAGTGAATTATGTTTGATTCAGTTCAGAACAGACTCTTGCCTTTATTCTGTAGAATTTAGCAACACTTTCAATTCATTGCTGACAGTGGATTCAAGAGTGAATTATTTTCCAGCAACTTGGTGTCCCATTCTCACTTTGTTCATAAGGTTCTCTCTCACTGTTAACAAGGTTGTACTATATTGGAAGCATTGGTGACTGTAAGTTAGCACTCTGTCACACTTCTATAAATAAATATAAAAATATTGGTCAACTCAGTGAAAGTAATGTGCAGCTAGCTCATTTTAGAATGACTATTTGTGTGAAACAGAAATACTGATGTTTATTTTTCCCTTCATCCAGGGTCGACATGTCAAAACGGGGCAGCTTGCAGCCATCAAAGTTATGGATGTCACAGAGGTATGAGCAGTCTTTGATTATGACAGTTCAAATGGACACTGTTCTCTTGTGAAGTAACATTGGGCCAAACACTTTTTCAGAGTTGCTTTATTTAAAAAATAAACTCAATATATTGAGAAACTTTTTTCTCTAATGTTATAATGGCAGTATCTAGCTGAGTAAAGACCAAGAGATAGTAGGAACTGCAGATGCTGGAGAATCCGAGACAACAAGGTGCAAGGCTGGATGAACACAGCAGGCCAAGCAGCATCATAGGAGCAGAGAGG